TGGGGTGAACCAGCCTTTGCCGTAATGTGTTTTGGGGTTTGAAAGCTACTGGGACATCATGTTTAGAAAATAAACATCTCAGTTTCTCCGAAACATCCATAACAGGAGGCAATGGGCTTGATCAAACCCAAAATTGAAAAATGGCTAGCTAAAAGCTGAAAAAAAAAAACCAACAACAATGGGCTAGCCTAAATCTAAAGCTAATAAAGGGCTAGGCAATACTAGTAGAAGAAGCTAAAAGAAGCAGAACAGTAGCTTAAAGACTAGAAGCACAAGAAGAATTAAACAGATGTGATTTGCTGAGACAAATGTCAGACATCAATGATTTGGATGAACATGAATAAATCATGTATCATTCTTGTATCATTTTTTAAATATGACTTAAAGACAATTAAATAAAGTAAAACAGCACCAAGTATACAGAAGCTGTCAGCTGTGTTAAAAAAACAGCAGGAGTGAGTTGTACCTTTGCTTTGCTTAGATGAGATGTTTTCTCTCTTATTTCTGGACACAGTTTGTCTGTTTGATCCAGAGCCTCTTCGACTCGTTCAATCCAAGCTACAAACTGACAAACGTCCTCCTGATAACTCGTCCACTGAGACAGTGATCCTTCCAGCTGGCTGCAGGGTAAACAGAAAACAAAATGTCAGAGAAAGTTGGTTTTATCACATTATTTAAACAAACGGAAACAATTATAAAGTATGAACTGTTTGTAGAAATGCTACGTCAATAAAGCAACAAAAGTGTTTCAGTGTCAGAAGAAAATAACCTTTTGCAGAGAATAGCTGCAGAGAGCAGAGCATCCCAGGAGTTTTTGAGCTCCTGTATCTGTTGGTGGATTAAAGGCACTCCATCAGAGGAGGTGTTTCTCTGAACTGACTCTCCTCTTGTCATCAGCATCTTTAGTTGGATCTCCTTTTCCTGACGAGCAGTCAGCAGAGCCTGGACCAACCATCCAGAACCAACATTACAATCCAGTATTACAGATATACTGGGATACAAAAGAAGCATTTGATACCTCCAGCTTTATCATCCTGCTGTCTAGAACATTTTTGTCAGCAGTGGGGGTGCTGTACGTCTGCAGCATGTGGCTGGTGTCCACCACCCAGTTCTGCAGCTCCTCTAGCCCTTGAGAGAAAAGCTGGTGCTCAGTGACAATCCGATCTATTCGAGATGACTTCTCCTGCAGAAAAACAAACAGAAACTTTAGAAAAGTCATAGTAAATCCAATAAATCTCCAGCATAGGTTGTAGACATGGAAATTACAATAATGCTTTCCAAAAAGGTAAAAAATTTAAAGGGGCATCTTATAGAAACAAACATGAGGAACCCACACGGACAAATTGTTGGTACCCCTCAGTCAATGAAAGAAAAACCCACAATGGTCACAGAAATAACTTGAATCTGACAAAAGTAATAATAACTAAAAAAAATACTATAAAAATGAACAAATGAAAGTCAGACATTTCTTTTCAACCATGCTTCAATGGAATTAAAAAAAACTCATGAAACAGACCTGCACAAAAATGATGGTACCCCGAAAATAATGACCAAAGGAACATGTTAAATAAAGGTGTGCGCCGACACTATACTGTCTTATATGTATTAGCTCAGTGCTAGCGTGACAAACTAACAAGCTAAACATATTTTCAGTTGCAGCCTGAGTCATTTTTGTGTTCCCCTCTCTGTCATGTGGAAGGAGGACCTCAGTGACGAGAGGAGAATGGCTGTGTCCAAAACGACAGGACAGGTCCTCCGAAGGTCGAATTTGTCGGCCGCATACGTCACAGCCCTGCGACGAAGGACGTCCAAAACCGAAGACTCCTCCGATGCGGCCGACAAATAAGTCCTTCCTTTTCCCTGATTTGAAGGACAGGTCCGATGGATCCTTCCCGGCCCAGCATATCCCATAATGCATTGCGGCCCGACCGGAGATTTTTTTATGCTAGTAATGGC